ATATTTAGAGGTTTTATCGTATATATTATTAATAATTATATATTATTAATTTATATATTTTAGATGGTTATTCTACTTGAGATTTTAGACAACAATATCCTACTAATTCACTTATAGAAGCACGATACCAAAGTGGAAATAAACCATTTTATAATTGGTACAATGTGCAATCTTTAGGATATTATCCAACACAGTTAAAATTTACTCAGAAAAATTTAAAAGAAGGTATTCAATATCCAATTCCTGATGAATATAGAGTTGAAACAAGCTTAATTAAAAAACAAATACGATGTGAAACAAAATATCAGTCAAATGAAAAAGTAAAATTTATAGTTAAATGGATAGAAAATAAAACTAAATGGAGTTTATATAGTGATAAATCAGCATCGAATATAATTAGTTCTTTTTTAAAGGTAAAATATATATTGCTTTTATGTATTGTATTAGATAATTTAATATAATTTATTATAAAATTTGTTTAGCATCATAATTATTCTAAAATGAAGTTATCTGGTTCACAAATATTTGGATTTGATATTGGTAAATTACATAAATGCCAATTAGAATTAAATACCAATATATCCCAAGATCTAATAAATCAGTTTGTCAACAAAAAAAAGCGCTCATTATTAACAATTCATTCAACATCAGGTTAAAATAAAAGATTTGCAACATTTGGAAAACAATCAGGAAATATTATATGTGATCTTATTAAAATTCATCGATTAACTGATAAAAGTAATCAGCCAATAGTTTTTTTTCGAAATATTATAATAATGAGGCTATTTTTTTAAATTATCAAACATCTGACAAAAAAAAAAATTTAATTAAACTAGATGCAATTGTAAGGGCTTGTGATGAATCACTGCTCTCTCGTGATGGATATCGATGATTAGCTGCAGTAGAAACCAAACTTATTTGAGAATATATATTAGCAGAACATAGAACTAGAATTACAGATCATATAAACAAAAATATTAAAATCAGAACATTTAATATTAACAAAATAAACAATGAAGTGTTAGAGTTTGATGAAGCAAATAAGCCCAAATCTGATATTCAAATAAAGGAGTCTGATATTGGAAATGGTGCATATTGATCTATTCGTACTATATTATATATGTTAATTCCTATATGGAAACAATCAAATATAATTAAACCAGGCAATACACTTAAACTTAAACTTGGTGGTGATGGATGCAATGTAGGGTGTAAGCAAAGCCATGTAATGATTACATTTTGTTTATTAAATGATTATGAAAATGTTTTAAAACCGGAAAACCAATATTGGTAATTAATATAAATTATATATTATTATGATAATTATTTATTATTTTTAATTAAATTTTTTAATTTTTAGTATTTGTCTTTATGTTGGTCATGAAAAATATGACAATTTATTTAAAGTTGGTAATATATTTAAATTTCAACTTTCGGACTTACAAGATAATAGAATTTATGATCAAGATAATATTTATTGGCCTATTGAGTTTTTTTTTTATGGAGATTGAAAGTTTATGTATTTGATTATGAGATTAAATGCACCAAATTCCAAATATTTTTGTTTATATTGCAATTGTGAATCTAATTTACGATGGGATATGAATCAAGAATATAATAATGCTGGAAATACAATGTATAAATTTATTTATTTATTATTTATTTAATAATAAACTATAATTTATTAATAGGTAAAAATAAAAAACTACCAATATTTCTAGTAATCACTCAACAAAACTATATTCCTGATGAGTTACATTTATTTTTACGAATATCAGATATTTTAATTGAGTGTTTTTTCAATGATCTATTGAAAAAAAAAGACTTTGAAAAATCAGTTAAAAGTGAAATTGAAAAAACAATGAAAGAGATTAATATTCATTTTGAATTTTTTAAATCTCAACGTACTAATAATAAGTGGGATTGGACAACATTAATGGGTCCTGAAAAAAAAAACTTTTAGAAAAATTTTCTGTTTCAAAATTTATTTCTGGAATACGAGGAGAAGAAATTGAAAAATTGTAGTGTGAATTTTATCAACTTTACTACTTTTAAAAACACCATTTCTCTCAAATAATGCAATCAATAGATTTGAAATTAATGCAAAAAAATGAATTTGCATATTTTATAAACCAGCTGAAGGTAGAATTAACTCTACTTTTCAAAAGCCAGGCTTATATCGAAAAGAAGATGTAACTCCATATATGCATGTATTTGCAATACATATTCCACAGTTTTTACGACAGTTAAAAGCTCAAAATCTTTCTTTACATATGTTTTCAACATCGGGAATTAAAAAAAAAATCACAATCATGTAAGTATATTATTAATAGCATATTTGAGTACTATTAAAAAAAACTAAATGCTAGCTTTCAATTATATTTTATATGCAGTTAGTTATCTATGAAAAAGTTATCATTATGATAAAATTTTCATAAATAGCTAACTACACATAAAATATTATTAAAAGCCAG